TGCCCCTGCATAGCTGCCTCCTGGTGCACACCCACCTCATCCAAGGGACCCTCTCCCTCTCCAAGGGGGGCCTCTTTTCATGCAATGAGGCCACGACATCCCCAGGGCCAAAGCTAGACCTGGCTCAACACCTCCCTGCCCCTCCCTCCCATCCATTCTCTGCTGCCTCCGCTGTCCCTGTGGTCTTCCTGTGGCCCCCAGGTGTGCTTTACGCAGAGGCCAGGCTGAGCTTTCACAGGTGACACCATCAGAGACTGCCAGCCTTTGCTTTCCACCCTTGGAGGCTCCCTTTCCATGATGGTGGCCACCAAGTCCCCAGCCCTTCCTGCCACTATGGTGCTGTGTTCCTCCTGCTGCCCCTGAGCCAGGGGCCCTGGACAGCAGCGTCCACCCTCCACCTGGCAGAGCCATGTCTGTCTCAGTGCCCTATGCTTGAAGGTGCTTCCTCTCCAGGGTCTGGGGCTCCCAGAGCACTTGCCCCCACCCCCTCCTGGGTGATGCCCAGAACTCTGTGACCCTGTGCAGGCACTGATGTCCCTGTTTACAGCAGAACAAGCCAGGAAGGGACTGGCCTGTGGTCCCTTGGCCAGTGTGTGGGGTTCCACTTCCCTGTGGGCCCCCTCTAGCAAGAGTCCTGCCCTTTGTATGCCATGCCCAGAACCTCCACCCTGGCATGGGCTCACCCTCCCAGAGTCCTTCCACCATATCTAGTTTGTCATCTGAATGGGACCAGGGGAATTGGGCCTCGAGGAGTCACTTCACTCACCCGGGGACAGAACTATCGGGAGGGAAGGAGTCTCGCTCTGCCTTGGGAGACAGCGCTGCACCCCTATCTGACCAGGGGCCTGCTCCCCCTCCCCCTCTGACCACTTCCTTTTATCTGTGCCCTCCAGCTTTCCATGTGCCCCAAACTCAGGGAACCTGGGGGCTAAGCAGGGGAGGGGCGTGTCCCTGGGGACTGCAGGGCTGGGTCACGCAGGGGAGACCCTCCTGGCCCAGGACAGCTCTGCTCTCTCACCACCTCAGCCCCCCTCCATCCCACTGGGGACCTGCTGGGCTGATGAGGACTGTCCTGAAGGGGAGACGGGGACGCACAGACATGGTCACTGTGGGCCCTGTCTTCCAGCGCCTCCACTGGGATGGGGTTCAGGGTGCTGGGCTGGGTCCCTGGGTGTCTCCCATGTACAGGCCTGCTGGTACCTCTGTGTCTCTTCTTTCTGCCAGAAGCCCCCTGCCCATTCCCTTCCTAGGCCCTTGGGGATTGGAGGCCTGGAGTTTGTCTCATGCTTTTAAGGCATAAAAACGGGTGAGTGTGTGATCTTCAATGGGACCCACAGGACCTGTGACATCCTGGACTAGTGCCCCTTGGAGAGCGACACTGTACCTGTGTAAATGTTCCAGACACCCAGGGCAGGTCCCAGGACCAGCAGAACCTGCCCCTTACCTCCCCCACCTGCAGGAAGCCCCTGCTCGTCCAGGCTGAGAACTTCACGCTGTTCATCACAAACACTGTCACTTTCAGCAAGTTCAACTCTCCAAGTAAGCACGGTGGGTCCTGGCTGGCCCTAGATTCTCCTTGTCCCCTCCTGGCCTGAGGCCCCAGCCCCACCTCCTCTCAGGTCCAATGCCTTAGAGACATGGGATGCTATTTCAAGTGCTGCAGCTATGACTCATGTTTCAGCCCCTACTTCCCTGTGTTCCATATCAGGGACCTCATGGCCATGACTGAAGGGGCCTTTGAGGACCTGGTGTTGCTGGTGGGTCCGTGGGGGTAGGGTTTGGGGAGGGCTGGGGGAGAGGGTCCTGGGCCAGCGAGCTGGAGGAGCAATGATGCACTGTGTGCAGGGCGGTGCTGTGGCATCCATGTCTGCTGGGATTGTGACCTGGACGCCGGGAGCTCCAACTGCCGACCCATGACTCCTTCCAGCTGCAGGAGATGAGCTCCAACTTCAGGTGTGGCCCCACTGCCCGCTGGCAGCTCCTCAGCCAGGTCCTCCCCAACCTGTCCACCTGTGGTGGCCGAGGGAGACCACAACCTGGCCCATCCCTCTGGATGCTCTTCTGTGTGTGCCACAGGGTCCCAGGGCAGGAGGGGGTCTCTCAGCTCCAGGTCCCCCAGCACAGGCTCCATCCAGCTTCCCTCCTGAGCCCTTTTGCCTCCACCCCATCTGTCCCCACACCCTGCTGCTGCTGGGACCCCTCACCCCAGCCCCTCCTCCACTCCACCCTGCCTCCAGCACCTCCCTCCATGGCACAGGGGCTTTCTTGTTACTTTTCCCTTAAGGTTTTATCAAAAAAATTATAAGAATCTATAGAAAACTTCAAAGATTAGTAGCATGAAAACCCATATACACTTCATTTGATTCCCCGTGATTGGTTTTATGTTTTTTTTTTTACCATTTTCCCCCATATGCTTTCTCTCTCCCTCTCTAGAGAGAGTTGTGTATATTTAGATGGATTTCACAGGAAACCATTGGAAGTAAGTGGCAGATATCTGGACACTCACCCCTCTCAGTGCTGTCCTGACAATGAGGACCTTCCCCAGGTGACCACTGTCCTCTTGTCACACTCAGGAAATGTAACATTGGCAGATAAACGTAATATTAAAATTTCCCCAGCTGTGCCAAAAATTGTCCTAAAACTTTTTATTTTCTCATCCAAGATATACTCAAGGCTCTTGCGTTGCATGCATTGTCATGTCTTTGAGGTTCCTAAGCAGACATGTCCCATCCTTCTGCCCCTCCTGTCACATCATCATCCTCACACAGAAGTGCACACAGCTACCAGGCCAGGAGGTGACACCCATGACACTGCCATCTGGGCCCTCCTGGCCTGGCTTCACTGGCCACCCACGCCCTGCTCCCCTCCCCTCTGCACTCTCCCCACCCTCCCTCTCTGCCTAGAGCTCCTTCCTGAGCCCTGGGAATCCAGCCAGAGGGGCTCCTGGCAGGAAGTCTTCCCTGGTTCCCTGGGGAGAGAGAGTGCCCCTCTCTGGATCCCACAGCCCAGGCCTGCCCCACCTCCCCCACCCCCACTGCTGGTGTCTGTTTAAGGAGCCTTCTGTCACCATCCCCTCAGCAGGCAGGTAGCTTCTGAGAGGCAGGTCCCAGTTTGCTTGTCCCCTGTCCCCTCAGCAGTGACATAGGGCTGAGACCCAGGACTCAGGCTGGGGTGGATGGAGTCAGTGGATGAGTAAGAGGAAGCCTGTGAGGGCCAGGCCACCCAGGAGTGGGCAGAGCAGCCACTGGACTCTCTCATGCCCCAGGACAGCCACTCATTGTGGGGAGGCCTTAGGCGTGGAGGCCCAGAGCCTGCTCCGCTGTACGGGATCCGCTTTGTACTCCTCGTCACTGGGCAGGTAGGGGCCAGGCCGGGGCAGGTGGGGGCTGGTGGTGAGGGGCAGGAGGAGGTGACAGCCACAGGCAGAGAGGCTCAGCCCAGGTCTCTCTCAGGCAGGGAAGTCAGGGCTCATCCCACAACCCTCACTCTGGGCACTGGAGCGGCCTGGCTGGGTGTGGTGAGTCTGGCCATCATGGCTCCCTCTGGCTTCTGGAAATCACATGCCCTCCGAGTACCCCCCAGGCTGATATTGAGTCTTGGGGTGAGGGCTGGGGAGGTGGCAGGATGGCAGGTTGGGGACCAGGCCGTGGGTCTGCCCTGCCTCCCCCAGATCACCTTCTTCTGTGACCTGCTGCTGTTGTACATGGATGGAGAAGCCCATTTCTACTGGAGGACCAAGCATGAGGTGGGGGCTGCAGGCCTGCCTGACCCTGGGCTATACTTTGGCGGATCATGGCTGGAGCCCCGACCTGCTGTCCTCATCTGCAGGCAAAGGCCCCAAAGGGAACTGCCAGCACTGAGCAGAAAGGCAGCTTCCCCACCCCCACATCCGGCTGCCCAGGTGCCTTAGAGGGAGCCCAGCACCTGTCCCCTCTGCTCCTGCTGGGAGCTGGACACCGCCACCAGGATGGGCCTGGCACCCACTTGCTGGCCCATTACTGAGGTCTGTAGCCTTTCTCTGCTGGTTGGGGGTTGGGGGCTTGGAAGGGTGGTGGCCCCAAATTTGGTGCTTCATGGATGAAGCCCTGGCAGGACCAGGGCAGGGGTGGGGGAAGAATTCCACCCTTCAGCTCCCAGACAGATTGTCCCCAACTCCAGCCTCAGCAGGTGCTGCCTGGGGACCACAGAAGCCAGTTTCGTGTGGAGATTGCAGGGAACAGACGCAGGGCCCTGGCTGAGTGGGGCTCTGGCTGGGGCTGGGGCTGCAGACACACTCCCAGACTCCATCTCCAGTGTTCCCAGCAGCTCCCCGCTCTCCAGCTGTCCACCACACTGGCTATGGTCAACTCTGGCCCTGCCTGGCTCCCAGCCCTCCTCCCCCAGCCAGCACCCCCCTCACAGGGAGAGCCCCTGCCCTCTCAGCTGCCCCACACTGGGGTCTGTGCAGCCAGAGCCAAGGCTAGGGAGAAGGTAGCCTGACAGGAGGAGCTGTGGCAGCTGCTCTGTGCTGGGTTCCCAGGGCAGGGCCCCTCCCAGCTCTGGGCCTCATTCACGGAGTGAGGAGTGTGGTGGCAGATGATCCGACCCCCTAGGGCCCCAGGCAAGGGAACAGGACTCTCTTGGGCCCATACCTGCTCAGCTGATGAGCACCAGCCCCTTCCTGTTGGCAGCCCTTGGGCTGTGGAGGGCTGGGATGGGGGAGGGGGCGGGGTCTGAGTTGGTGGGCATGGGGTCCTTTGGAACCTTCTATATGTCTCCTTGGTAACCCCTGCCCCATAACCTAGAACCTGCCCACCAGGGTTCCTGGGAGCCATGGGGTGGGGTGGTTGTATATCTGGACGCATATGTCACTGTTGCCCAAGGTCACACTTGAGAATGTGTCTAGGCAGCTGCCCACCCAGCCAGAGGCAACTGCATGAGGGCTATGCTCTGACCAAGACCAGGGGCTGGAGAGAATGTCCCTAACAGAGGACATGGAAACCCCAGCAGGCTGGCCTGGTTCTGGCTCTGGAATCCTCCTGGGGGCCTGAGTCCTGCCTGCTGGAGAATTTCCCCATGTCCTGGGCCCATGGTCAGGAGTGGAGGGATGGGGCTTCAAGAGTCAAGCCCTCTCTGGGTACCAGGGAGAGGCAGGGTTTGGGGTACCCACCCCAGGGAGACAAGGGGCTGCCTCCTCATGGGTCCCTGGTGAGCAGGGCCATGCTGGCAGCTTGCTGGTGGAGCGACATGGGCCAGGCTGGGGAGGGGAGGCCTGGGGCTCAGGCTGGGTAGTGTCTGGAATCATCTGGCACCTGGAGCCTCAGCAAAGCCTTGGGGTCCCTGCTGCCTCTCACCCCCAAGGCAGTGTCCATGGGAGCTGGGTTCAGAAGGGCTGGGGTGAGAGGTCACAGCCCTGAGGCCTGGTTATTGGAGTGGGGTCACGTGTCCCTGGTTGTCCTTGGGGCCCCGAGAAAGTGATGTTGAGGCTGCAGAGAGTGGAGGAGTAAAGCCGCCAAAGCCAGCAGCTTCCTGTGTGGTCCTCACAGGCAGGAACAGGGAGGGGGAGGGGTCTATGGTAGATGGATCATGGCCTTGGGGAGACCATGGGGAGTGCAGGGTGGGCCTGGGGACCCCCAAGGATGGGGCCACACCACCACAGATGGGTGGAAGGTCCCTGGAGCAGATCCAGGTGCTTGTGCACCCACCTACCCGCGTGTGTCCCATCCTGAGCCTTTGTCACAAAGCCCTGAGGGGGCAGCAGGGAGAGAGGTTTCTGGAAGCTGCAGCTAGCCTTGGGCTGGGAAACAGCTGCTGCCTCAGTCTGCACGTGGGTGCACACCCAGGGGACCATGTGTGCCATGTGGGCCTGGGCCTGAGAGATGTGTGTGCCTGGGCAGGGGGCCTCTCCATCCGGGGCATGTGTCAGCATATGCCCTGCTCTCTGGGGGCCCTGGGAAACTGATGGGAACCCCAGACTCCACCACCCTTTCTAGGAGGCCTCCTTGGGGTCTAGACGCTGCTCTCTGGATGTGGCCCTGAGGGGACAGGTGGGGAACCTGAGAGGTTCCTCACCCTGTCTTGGATCCCTCTGTGCCTGGTGTGTAATGCTCTCTTAAAAGCTGACCAGAGTTCACTGGTCTGAGGGCTGGACAGTGGGACCCAGGCCTGGCCGTGTTCCTGACTCAGGGCTGTCCCAGGGCTGGCACTTCCCCCTTACAGAACCCCAGCATCTTTGATTTTTTCCCTGAACAATCATCTGGTTCCCAGGGGCATTAAGGACTTAGTGCCACAAAGAGGCCACAGTGGACATGGCAACAGGCTATGTGGCTTTCTGAGCAGTGATTACTGTGGATCCCTGGGGCTCAGGCCTCTTCCCTGCCCGCCCTACTGCACCTGCCCTGGTAGCTGGACTTCGTCATAAACTGGAAGGTGCTGAGCAGAGTCCACCACACCAGCGCTGGCCACGGCCCACTCCCAATGACTTGAAAAACAGCACCTGGGCTAAGATCCTGAGGTCCTGAGGACTTCCTGGCATGTTCAGGTCTGCCCACCAGACCTGCCTCGGATAGAGGGGCTGCCAGCCCCTCTGGGCTCCTGAAGAGGTGGGGGAGGGAGGGCAGGACCCCAGCAGTCCTCATGGACTGGTGGGCTGCTCTATGTGGCCGGGCTCCTGGGCCGGTGCCTGACTGGGCAGCTGCACGGCCTGCACCGTCACCTCCAAGCTGCTGCTGGGGACCACCATGTAGCGTGTGGCCATCACCCCCGGCTGCTCCTGCTGGTTCTCCTTGCTGTGCCAGATGCCATAGCCAAAATACACCACGAGTCCTGCAAGGGTGGCACAAGGCTGAGGGGCAGGTCCCAGCCCTGCTTCCCTGTGTCCCCTCCTCCTGCAGCCCCCTGAGGTCCCAGCCTGGCCCCCACTCACCCATCAGCAGCCAGATGGAGAAGCTCAGCCAGGTCAGGTAGCTCATCTGCAGCATAAGGATGATGTTGAGAAGGATGCTCAGGGCGGGAGTCAGGGGCACCATGGGAACCTGAGAGGACAAGGGCAGGGCTGGGCTGGGCTGCAGGGAAGGGCTGCTGGCCCAGGGCCTGATTTCTCGGGAGTCCACAGAGCCTTTCTCTGCCTCTGGAGATTCCGGACACAAGGGCCCACCCGCAACGCAGAAAGAGGGGTGTCGGGTACTGGCCTCCCCCGCCCTGCAGCCCTGGTGCATCCTGCCACGGCAGAGGAGGAAGGGGCGAAGGGAGCAGGCTGGGCTGAGCACAGTGCATGCTGGCTGGAGGAAGTACCTGAAAGGTGTCTGGCAGGCGCTGCTGCTGGTGGGCCCCCAGGATGAGGAGACTGAGCAGAAACGTGGCGGAGCTGAGCAGGAGCAGCAGCGTGTAGCCCCAGGGTGGGAGGTGCAGGGCCGTGTCCTGGAAGACCAGCACGAAGTCCAGAGTGATGGCTGAGGCCACCAGGACACCGAGGGCCCAGGCCACAGTGGCTCCAGGTCTGCACCCACCCAGGAAGCGGAGGTAGGGCCTCAGGGCGGCTCGCAGCTGCCCAGGCTCAGGGGCTGAGTCCTGCTCTGTGCCCTCAGGGCTGCCTGAGTCCTGAGAACTGGATGGAGGGGCCTTTTGGAAGCGTAGAATGATAATGCTGGTGGCCACAAATGTATAGGCCAGCAGTGCACTAATGGACAGGAACCGGACGAGTGCCTGGAGGTCCAGCAGCAGCGCCAGGAAAGCCATGAGGACCCCGAACACCAAGAGGCCCACCATAGGCACCTGGGTCCGGGGTTGCATGTGGGCAAACACCTGGAAGAAGAGCCCATCGATGGCCATGGCACACATCGTTTGTGGCAGGAAATGGAGAATTCTGAGCAGGACACTTGTCATGGCTGTGACAGAAGATGGGAGACTGGTCAGCATAGTGCACAGGCCCACCAGGGGCTGCTGCTGGGGGCCAGGACATGGGTGGCCCCTTGAAAAAATGGGCATGAGTTTTTCTGGGCTCTGAGAGTGAGCCTGAATATATGTGGATGCTGGATTGTTCCCCCTCACCACCCAGGAATGGGACAGCCCAGTTTAGGTGACAGACCCACTGGAGAATCTGATGAGGGCTGAGTCCCTCTGCCTGGAAGGATCTGGAAGCACATGCTCAGAACTGACATTCTATGTACAACTGGGAGGGACGGTGAGTAGGTCCCTCCCCACAAGCCCAGGTGGAGAGTCTAATCCTTAGCCCCTTCCTGGGCCCAGGATGCAACTGGGAGCACAGGCCCAGAAGGAGATGTGCTTCCTGGAGGCTTAGGGCAGGGCCCACTTCTCTGTCCCCTCCCAACTTTCCCGGAAGGCCCCTTACCACAAATGGAGCCAGCTGCCACGAAGTAGCCCGCCCAGCTATAGCCCCGCTGGTGGAAGGCATCTGCGAATGCTGAGTCAGGGTCCAGGCTGTGCCAGGGCACCATGAGGGTGAGCACAGTGCAGACGAGGATGTAGGCACCAGCCACTACACCAACTGAGATGGTGATGGCCATAGGTACAGCTCGCTTTGGTGTCTGGGCCTCCTTGCTGGAGGCAGCAATGATACCAAAACCCTCAAAGGCATAGAAACAGGTGGCAGCACCAGCCATGATGCCAGGGAAACCAAAGGGCACAAAGCCACCCTCCTCAGCACTCCAGTTGTGTGGGCGGGCCAGGACAAACCCCAGGATGATGATGAAGAGGATGATGACAAGGTTGATGGCAGAGAAGACGTAGTTGAGCCAGGAAGAGACACGGGCTCCACAGGTGATGAATAAGGAGGCCAAAACTGCAATGCCAGCAGCCAAGAAGTCTGGGTACTGGGCCAGGAAGGGCACCTGCCAGATGCCCACGTGGGTTACAGTGAAGCTGCGGATGCGATGGCTGAAGATGGCATCCAGGTAGGTGCTGCAGACGCGGGCCACGGCAGCGCCACCAATTAGGCACTGAAAGAGCACATTCCAGCCGATGAGGAAGGCCCACAGCTCACCCATGGACACGTAGGTGAACAGGTAGAATATGCCAGGACAGGGCACACGCACTGCAAACTCTGCATAGCATAAGGTTGCCAGCAGGGAGGCCATGGCGGCCACGCCAAAGGACACGAGCAATGCAGGGCCAGCCATCTCCTTGGCCATAGTGCCAGCGAGTAGATAGATACCCATGCCTACCATGCCACCCACACCCAGCAGGGTCAGCTGCAGTGTGGTCAGGTGGCGCTGTGGCAACGTCTCCGTGGTGGGCTCCTTCAGTGTCTTCAGCCGGTTCAGCTTCTGGCAGAAGCGTGCCAGGCTGGCAGTGCTGGGCAGTCCCAGGACCATGGTGGGCAGCTGAGATGAGCACCAAGCCAGCTGCCGGCACCTACAAAAGTCAGAGAGGAGTGACACGTTGCCCAGACAAGTCCTGACCAGGCTTCAGTTCTCACTCTGACCCTGCCCTGGGGACTCAAGCCTAGAACCACTGGCAGCTGGAGGGCTGGATGAGGCAGGCTCAGGGCCTGGCAGCAGGGTGGGCAGGAGGCCACAGGGAAGCATGGGGATCCCTTCAGCCTGCCTCCTGGGCAAGGGACTGGGTGTTTGGGAGGGGCCCTGAAGGTGGGGAGGGGGCAGCCCCAGGGAGCCTGGTTAGGAACCACTCCAGTGGTCTTGGATCCCAGCAGGGTGGAAACCTGAGGTCTCCTGAGAACTGGGCCAGGCCTCCAGGACCCACAACAGGAGCGGGTCTGTGGCCTTAGTCATAGCCCAAGTGGCCACCTGGCCTGGGACAGTGAATTTCACCCCCCACCCCCAGCCCCCCCAGACTGGTGCATCAGCTCACCCTGCTGGGAATGGGGGCCATCCTTGGACCTCTGCCTGAAGCCAAGGCCCCACCTCTCAACACGATGTGCCACCACCGCAACCCTGCCAAAGTCACTTCTGTTTCACCCCTGTCCCCAGGAAGGAGACTTCAACCCCCCTCCTGCTGAGGAACCCCTGCAGGACTTGCTGTGACTCACCTGCTATTGCTGCCACCGCTATGTGCACTGCGGTGGCCTCCACCCCTGGGTGCAAGCTCCAGCCCTGGGCCCTGCCTCATCATCACACACTCACTCAGCCCACCCTGCCCACACCTCACACGGTCAAGACAAGACTCCCAGGTTCTGGGGAAACCCTATGACTGTGCTCAGTTCACAGATGAGGAAGCCCTGGCCACCAGGTAAGTGACTAGCCCAGGCCACCAGGGTAGCCTTGGGAGGCAGGTGGAGGTTAAGGTCCAGGTCTGGCATGGGGTGGAGCCCACCCTCTGTCCATTGATGCAGATGCCCTCCCTGATCCCTCATCCCAAAACACAGACTCCACCAGCTGGGCACCATCCAGGCCCCTCGACCCTGAGAGGTGTGGGAGCTGCGGGAGTCAGGCAAGACGCTGGTAAGATGAGGGCCTGAATGTGGCTGAGAGGCCTTGGGCAGTCCCTGACCTCTGGCACAATGAGATGGTAGAAGGCGACCCTCATCCACTGACAAGGGAGTGCCCAGCTTTAGGGAGTATTCTGTGAATTGACAGAAGTTGTGCTGGCTGTTCTGAGTTTCTAGCTACAAACAGTGTCCTGAAAGGATGCAAGCAGACCCCTGGGGGTGACATCCAGCCCTCCAGCTTGGGGCACCCTAGGGCCCTTCAGATCCCAATGGCAGCCCCTCTCAGCCCAGGAGCACCTGTCAAGCATGGAGGACCCTGGGGGACCCTTACCACAGTTCTCCACTTACGGATATCTGTGCGAGGTGTTGTGGACTGAGCATCTGCTCCATGCCAGTCCCTGCATCACGGGGACACATCATGTGTCTCATCATATGACCATCACAAACCCCCTCAGGCTTATTTATTCCTGGGGCTGAGGGGTCTGTGTCCTTCTGCTCTTCCCACGCCTTTGAAAGTGGAAAGGCTGGTGTGACAGGGTGTGAACTTCTCTACAGCAAAATGAGGACAATGCATCCAAGCAAAGCAAAACCAAAACAGTCATCCTCTTCCCCCAGAACTCTCTCCATGTTGTCAGGTTTCTATGTAGTTTGTGGGATAGGACGTTAGGGGCACCTGCAGGCTGTCTGGCTCAGCGGGCTGGTGACAGAGTGGTGGACTCCCAGCCATGAGAGTGCCACTTGGAGCACTCTGCCTTAGCCAGCCCCTTGCTCCCTTCTGGTATTTGGTTGATATTGTCTTGAGGAGCTTCACAGATGGGCTCCCACTTCCTGGAGGGGTGATCCCTCCCACACCTCACTCCTGTGTGGCCTAAACATAACTGAGCAGAGTTCCTTGCTATGAAACACCTTCACAGAAACCCAGAAAAATGTGTTTCCAACCAAGAGGCCTGGGCAGTTGTATAACAGGAGCTCCCCGAGGCCTGACTGATGGGCACCTGAGAGCTGGTGTGGAGGGTTTCAGAGTACTGACTTTTTATCACCCAGAGAGGGGCTCTCACCACACCCCCTTCACAGGGGCCAACATCCAATGGATACTCATGGCCAAGCATGGTCGACGCAGTAAACTAAACTTCCAGGGACATGGCTGGGCCAAGTGCTGGACCCCAGCGAGCAAGGCAGTTACACTGAGCAACACATGGAGATGCAGTGAAGAGAAAGCACCAAAAATGCAAGAAGAAGAGAGAACACTTCCCACCTCATCCTACACAACCAGGAGCACCCTGACACCAAACCCAGCAAAGACATCACAAGGAAACTACAGACCAACAATTTTCATCAGGATAGATGCAGAACTACTCAACTGAATAGCCACAAATTGAATCCAGAAACATATAAAACGGACCAAGTGGTATTTATCCCAGGAATGCAAGATTGATTTCAAATATGAAAATCAATCAATGTAGTATGCCAGACTAATAGAGGAATAGAGTAAAGTAATAGAGTAAAAAACAAAAACAACAATATTTTCTCAACAGAGACAAAAAAAAGTCAGTCAACAAACCTGCAAAAGAAGGGACCACCCTCAAACTGATGACGACCATCTACGAGAAAACCTCAGCTGCTGTGCTCAGTGGAGAGAGACTGAAAGCTTTCCCTTTGCTCAGGAACAACATCGGGATGTCCTCTCACCACTTGTACCCAACATTTTACTAGGGGCTCTGGCCATGGCAATTAGGTGAGAACATGAAATAAAAGGAATCCAGATTGGAAAGGAAGAAGTAAAACTATCTCTAGCCTCAGATGACATGATCTTATGTAGACAAAATACTAAGGAATCCACACAAAAAATATTAGAACTGATAAACAGGTTCAGTAAAGGTGCAGGATACCAGATGAATATACAAAAATCAATTGTATTTCTATTCACCTACAATGAACGATCCAGAAATGAAATTAAGAAAATAATTCTGCCTGCACAGCATCAAAAAGAGTAAGTTTATGTATAATCATAATTAGAATAAATTTAACAAAAGAAATGCAAAACTTGTACACTGAAAACTACTACACATCATTGAAAAAAATTAAAGAAGACCTAAATAAGTAGAAAGATATCCCATGTTCATGGACTGGAAAGCTTCATATTGTCAAGACAACAATACTCCCCAAATTGGTCTGCAGATTCAGTGCAATCCCTATCAAAATCCCAACTGTCTATTTTGCAAAAATTGTCAAGTTTATTATAAAATTCATATGCAGATACAAGGGATGCGGAGAAGCCAAAACAATTTTGCAAAGAACAAAGGTGGAGGACTTACACTTTCTGATTTCTAAACAAAGCTACAGGAATCAAGACAATGTCTTACTGACATAAGGATAGACACATACAGATCAATGGAATAGAATCCAAAATAAGGTCAGTTAATTTTTTTAAATTCATGGCCAATCTCTATTTATGGACAATTGATTTTTAAAAAATAGACTTTCCATTTATTTTTAAGAATCAAGCAAGGTGGAGTTCTCATACACCCCAAGCCCCTATACATGCACAGCCTCCCCCACTATCAACATCCCCCAGCAGATTGGTACATTTGTTATTACTGATGAATCTGCGTTGACACGTCATTATCACCTACAGTCCATGGTCTACATTAGGGCTCTCTCTTGGTGACGTACATTCCATGGGTTTTGACAAATGTGTTATGACGTGTGCACACTATTACAGTAAGCCCTAAAAATCCTCTGTGCTTCACCTATTCATCCCTCCCTCCCCACTAACCTCTGGCAACCACTGATCTTCTCACTGTCTCCACAGTTTTCACTTTCCAGAAGTCATGTAGTTGGAATCAAATTGTACACTATGTAGCCTTTTCAGATTGGCCTTTTTCACTTAGTAATATGCATTTAAGGTTGTTTTATGTCTTCTCATGGCTTGATAGCACTTTTCTTTTTAGCACTGAGTAATATTTCTTGTCTGGATGGACCACAGTTTATTTATCCATTCACCTACTGAAAGATGGCTTGGTTGCTTCCACGTTTTGCCAATTATGAATAAAGCTGCTGTAACATCCATGTGCAGGTTTTTGTGTGGACATAAGTTTTCAACCCATTTGGGGAAATGCCAAGCAGTTTTGTTGCTGAATCATATGGTAGAAGTATGTTTACTTTTGTAAGAAACTGCAAACCTTCTTCCAAAATGGCCGTGCCGTGTTGCATTCCCACCAGCATTCCTGTTGCTCCACATTCTCAGCAACATTTGCTGTTGTCAGTGAATTGGATTTTTGCATTTTAACAGGTATTTAGTGGTATCTCATTGTTGTTTTCATTTTGCAATTCCCAAATGACATAGGATGTGGGGCATCTTTCATAGGCTTATTTGTCAGATGAATATCTTCTTTGGTGAGGTGTTTGTTCAGAACTTTGCCCGTTTTCACTTGGGATGTTGGTTTTCTTATTGTTGATTTTTAAGAGTACTTCCTATATTTTGGATAACAATCCTTTATCACCTATGTCTTTTGCAAATATTTTTTCCTACTTTATGCCTTGTCTTCTCATTCTCTTGATGGCCAATTGATTTTTGACAGGAGAGCCTTAACATTCAACAGGGGAACCAACAGTCTTCTCAACACACTGTGCTGTAACATTGGATCTCCACATGCAAATGAATGAAGTCAGACTCCCACCTCACATCACATGCAAAAATTAACTCAGAATAGATCAGAAACCTAAATCTAAGACAGGAAACCATACAGGCATACCTTGGAGATATTGTAGGTTTGGTTCCAGACCACTGCAATAGAATGAATATCACAATAAAGTGAGTCACATGAACTTTTTGGTTTCCCAGTGCATATAAAAGTTATGTTTACACTATACTGTAGTCTATTAAGTGTGCAAAGCATTATGTCTAAAAAAAGAAAGTACATACATTAATTAAAAATACTTTATTGCTTAAAA